CAGGCGCAAGCGCAGCTCACACAGATCCTACTACCCGGGTGGAAGATTTCATTATTCTCCACTCAGGATTATTGTATTATTTATTTATTTTAAATACATTGCGGCGGGGGCTGGGCTTACCATGTGGCGGGCTAAATGATGACGAGGTTAAAAGCACCCAAAAGACACAGCTGCTGCACAGGAAGGGGGAAGGTCCCTGCTTCCCCAACATCCAGATTCCAGGTGTGTGACTGTGTCTGCTCTGTGTGTGTGTGTGTGTGTGTCTGTCTGCCTGTGTGTGTGTGTATGTGACTGTCTGCCTCTGTGTATGTGACTGTCTGCCTGCATGTGTATGTGTGTGTGTGTGTGTGTGTGTATGTGTGTGTATGTGTGTGTGACTGTCTGCCTGCATGTGTGTGTGGGACTGTCTGGCTGTGTGTCTATGTGTGTGTGGCTGCCTGCCTGTGTGTGTGTGTGTGTGTGTCTGCCTGCATGTGTGTGTATGTCTGCCTGTGTGTGTCGCTGTCTGCCTGTGTGTGTGGCTGTCTTCATCTGTCTGTGTGGCTGTGTGCATTTGTGTGTGTGACTGCCTCTTTGTGTGTGGCTGTGTGGGACTGTGTGTGTGTGTGTGTGACTGTGTGCCTCTGTGTGTGTGACTGCCTGTGTGTGTAACTGTATGTGACTGTAACTGTGTGTGCGCGTCACACTCTGCCTGTGTGTGACTGTAAGCCTGTGTGTGTGCACCCAAACCCTGCGGCACCTTATGTAATCAGGGGCACTTTAAGAGTGCTCCAGACTGGCTCCTTTCATGCCATCTGCTGGGAGGAAGTGAGGTGAGATCACTTCCTCCCAAGTAACAAAGTGCCACTGGGGAGGTGGAGGAGGTTGAGGAGGCATACACAGGAGAAGGAGATGGACTGAGGAAGTCAGACTCCTATCAGCTTTGGCCATCCAGCTCCCACTGGATCCCAGGGAAGACACCCTTCTGTACCCAAAAGGTACATAGTATAGTTGCTGAACATGTATCAAGTTCGGGAGTAAAATAGGCAGGGGACAATTTTGTATCGACTAAGAGATACTTTTGTTTCTCCCTACCTATGTTACTCCCAAACTTGATACATGTTCGCCAACTACATGGTTAACATATTGACTCCACAAAATATACTGACTTTTTTGACTATATAGTTACATAGTTAGAGCTGTTACAGCTATAGTTACTTGCGTCCATTAAGTTCAGCCTTCCTCACATTTGTTTTTGCTGTTGATCCAAAAGAAGGCAAAAAAAAACCCAGTTTGAAGCACTTCCAATTTTGCAACAAACTAGGAAAATAAATCCTTCTTGACCCCAGAATGGCAGTCAGATTTATCCTTGGATAAAGCAGCTTTTACCCTACATTGAAAAATTATATCCTTGAATATTCTGTTTTTGCAAGTATGCATCTAGTTGCTGTTTAAACATCTGTATGGACTCTGATAAAACCACTTTTTCAGGCAGAGAATTCCACATACTTATTGTTCTTACAGTAAAAAATCCTTTCCTTTGCCTTAGACAAAATCTTTTTTCCAGTCTAAACGCATGACCTTGTGTCCTATGTAAAGTCCGGTTTGTGAATAGATTTCCAGTAGACTTATTTATTTATTTAATATTGTAGATTCTTTATCCATTATTTGTAACTATATATATATATATATTGCTTATTATTTTAATATACTAATAAATGTTAAGTTTTATTTTTATTTTCATTTACTCTGCTCACTACAAATGGGTTAATTTTTTTCTTCATGAAAGTTATGCTGGAACTTTATTTAGTTCCACTTTACATTTGTGAGTGGTCTTCATTCTTGTTTACTTGGGTTACCCCCCAGTTATTTAGCAACCTGACACTTTCTCCTTACAATTACTATCTACAATTTGTGTTTATGTGTATCTGTGTGAATGTATACTTGTGTACCTGCGTGTGTGTTTCTGAGCATGTGTGTATATATATATGTGTCAGTATGTGTACGTGTGTATCTATGCGTGTGGCAATGCATTTATCCCTGCTTCCAATGCCAACACTGTACACACATACGCTAACACTGCACACAAATACACCCCTTGATTCCAACATTAACACTGCACACAAACACGCTCCTGCTTTCCAACAACATTGCACACAAATACACCACTGCATGTGTGTCTGTGCTCCTGTATGTATCTCAGTGTTTGTGTAAGTGTGCATCTATGTGTATGTGGAAATGCATTCATCCCAGCATTCCAACGCCAACACCGCACACAAATACACCCCTGCATGTATCCGAGTGTGTACGTATTTGTGTCAGTGTGTATCTCTGTGTGTGGATGGGCCAGTGTGTGTATCTGTGTGTCAAAGTGTGTATCTGAGTATGTGTATGTGCTAGTGTGTGTGTGTGTATGACATTGTGTTTGTGTTAGTGTATGTATCTGTGTGTCAAGGTGTGTGCATGTATCAGTGTGTTTATGTGGGTATCTACGTGTCAATGTGTATGTATATCTGTGTTAGTATGTATGTGCATACATCCAGGCAATCAAAAACACCGCTGCAAACACAATCATCATATACACACCCCTGAATTCAAACTTCAAAGTTATATACAAACACACCCTTCACTCACACTAATACTACACACAAATGTACATCTGCATTTAAAAGACAACACTACATCCAAACACACCCCTGCATGCTATTACAAACGTTGAATACAAACACACCCCTTTATTAAAACACAAAAATTATATATAAAAACCAACTCTACACACAAAAGCACACCTGCATTTAAAAGCCAACACTACATACAAACACACACCCCTGCATTCAAACACAAACACTACACACAAATACACTGCATTTCAATGATAACAGTGCATACAAATACACCCCTACATGCACACACATACCAAATTGAGTTGTACGACTGATGGGTATCTATCTTTTCTCTACTCTGGTGCTAGTGGGGAGACCCCCCAAAAATTCTCTTTATATTAGTTTTATCACTAGGTTGGGGGTGGAGGCTGTGATTGCATGCCAGGGAGCTGGTGGGGGGGGGAGGGCAGGGTCCAGGGGGCCCAAGCAAATGCGTGCCCAGGGTCCAATTGTTATTAAAGAAGGCCCTGTCTGTCAGTGAGTGTGTATCAGTAAGGTCATGTCATCTATCAGTATGTCCATCCACACTGTCATCCTCACACTCTGCCCCCCACACAGTCATCCCCACACCCTACACCCCACACTGTCACCTCTCTACACCATGCCCCCCACACTGTCAACTTCCAACACAGTGCCCCCCAAACTGTCACCTTTCTACACACTGCCCCCCATACTGTCACCTTCTTACACACTGCACCCAAAACTGTCACCTTCCTACACACTGCCCCCCATACTGTCACCTTCCTACACACTGCCCCACTATACTGTCACCTTCCTAAAGCTGGCTCACCCCCAGCACTTATCCAACACTACATGCACTACACAGACACTACTACATACACATACATTACATCCACTACAAAGACACTGCATCCACTAAACACACTGCATCCACCACAGAAACACAGACAATGCATCCACTATACACACACACAATGTATTCAATACACACTGCATTCAATATAGACACTGCACATATATACACTATATCCACAACATGGCAGAAGGGGGAAGAAAATACATAAAAGGGAGGGGAACAGAGACATGGAGGGAAAGTGGAGAGAAAAGACATGGATTCTTCAGTCCATGGGGTAGATGCAAGCTGAACAGACAGTGTGGCTACATCTGCGGCTACAAGGTGTGATACATTACCTACCTGGCTGAGACTGTTGTTTGCAGAGGGATTAAGGGAGCGTTTGTATATGTATATATACACAGAAACAAACACATACACATTTTATAACTGCCCCCCTACTTTTGTCCCTGGCATGCCCCCCCCTAAAAATGAATGTTAGAGATGCCACTGGATTCTAATAAACTTGGAGGAATATAAACATAATTCTGTACAAAAAAGATTTTATGCACAGACATGTAATCATAACTTCTACTGTACAAATACATTTCTAAAATATTATATATATACATACATACAGTCATGGGGAAAAGAAAGTACACCCTCCTTGAATTCTATGGTTTTACATATCAGGACATAAATACCTTAGCAGGTATTAAAATTAAACATTTTAATTATAATTAAACATTTTAAAAAAAAAACTGCTTTATTTACTCACCTGATTCCACTACCGATCTCCCTCAGTTTTTACATTTCAGGACTAAGGGGGACATGGACACTACACCCAGATCACTACAATGAGCTGAAGTGGTCTGGATGCCTATAGTGTCCCTTTTAGGTCCCACCATAGCATTTCAATTGGGTTGGGGTCTGAACTATGACTGGGCTTTTGTAACACCTTAATTATTTTCTGTTGCAGATTTGCTGGTGTGCTTGGGATCATTGTCCTGTTACGAGACCCAATTTCGGCCAAGCTTTAGCTGTCGTACAGATGCCCTCACATTTGACCCTAGAATACTTTCGTATACAGAGGAGTTCAAGGTAGACTTAATGACTGCAAGGCTCCCTGGTCCTGTGGCTGCAAAACAAGCCCAAATCATCACCCCTCAACCCTGTGCTTGACAGTTGCTATGATATCTTTGTTCTGATATGCTGTGTTTTCAACAAACGTAGCACTGTACATTATGGCCAAATATCTCAACTTTGGTCTCATCTGTCTAAAGGACATTGTTACCGAAGTTTTGTGGTTTGTCCAGATGCAACTTTGCAAACCTAAGCTGTGCTGCCATGTTCTTTTTAGAGAGAAGAGGCTTTCTCCTGGCAACCCTTCCAAACAAATCATACCTGTTCAGACTTTTTCTATTTGTACTGTAATGAACTTTAACATTTAACATACTAATTGAGCAGTCTGAAATGTAACTCTTGAGCATTGCGAAGTCTGGCCTTGGGGTGAATTTGCTGGGACGTCTACTCTTTGGCAACTGTCTTGAATGTTTTTCACTTTAAAAAAAAAAAGGTATTCTTTATTTTTGCATTGACAAGGACTGTAAAATATTAACAATATGAGAACTATGGATAAGCCGCTTCGTTAAACATGGAGAGTTGCATATATGATACATAAGAAAGGCAAAAATCTTTTACAATACGCAATGCATTAGATATAAGCGACTGGCTTGTTCAATCTGTCAAGGTTTTACAATGCATTATAATAAACGAAGCAAAACGTCTAGTATACTGGGTGCCTGGTATCGTGGTCTTGGTATGCCTTATAACCTGTATAACTGGCTTCTTGTACCGAGAAAACACTGATTTGGCATTCGTTGATACCTGCTCATCGGGACACTAGTGTCTCCAAGGTCAGAGGCATCTCGGTTCTTCTTAATGCTGTGGTGGACCTTTGGTACTGGCTGCATCCGAGGAGTGTGAATCATTATATGTGGATGCCTCGCATGAGTAATAAGCACCAGTCCCTTGTTTGAGTTAGTGTTCGCCTGTTAACTGACTATGTATGCGAAAGTCGCTGATGTTTGGCTTGTAGGTAAGCTATGTATGGAAAGGTCCTACACAAGAGATTGGACAGGAAGAGGAGATGAAGAAAGAATAGAGAAAGAAAGAGAGAGAGTGGGTCGCTTCCAGGAGGGGATGAGGAGAAAGGGGAGCAAAGCGGAGGGGAATGGGGAGAGAGCGAGGTCAGGGTGGGAGGGGCACGAGCAGCCGGAGCTCCAGGTTCATTGTACAGGGGTGTATGTGTCTCCCCGGCCCTTCTCCGATCCTAATCTGCGAGTGGGCATTCCCCCCACCGACCCACAGACATACTTTTTCAAATTTCCTATTGGAATCCCGCACACTTGCAATCATATCGTCCATTAAGTGATTGTCTTTTATCTTCCCAATCACCGCTGGCATGGGTGGGGTGTCTATTTTTAACCAGTTTTGTGCCACCGCTCTCCGTGCCGCTAATGTGATTTTATTTAATAGCTTTTGTTCGTTATTGGGCCATCTCTCAATCGATCTATTCAGTAAGTATATCCATGGGTCAAGATCTGGTGCCCTATGAAATACCTGTCTCACTACACCCCTTACCTCCTCCCAGAAAGCCTTCAATTTGGGGCAGTCCAACCACATATGAAGGTAGGTTCCTCTGAGGCCACAGTTCCTCCAACACAAGTCCGTCTGCAGTTAGTGCATGCAGTGTAGTTTAACCGGAGTGGTGTACCACCTAAACAATGTTTTGAAGGACTGTTCTTGCATGGACATACATATGGAGGAGGATCTGCAGGCCTCCCAGATTTAATGTTTTTCAATTTTGAATAATCCTTTTCACTGTAGAATGATGGACTTTAAATAGTTTGGAAATGGCCATATAACCCTTTCCAGTTTGATGGGCAGCAACAATGACTTCTCTAAGATCATTGTTGATATCTTTCCTCCTTGGCATTCTGTTAACATACACCTTAATGTTTCAGACCAGCAGACTGCTTTTATACAAATGGTCACAGGTGCTGATGATCAATTAATCAACGGCATTCGATTACCAGCACTTGTCTGCTACTTAGCCTCTTAATTCTTATGTTAGCTGTAAGGGTATTTTCACACATAGCTTCTCCATTACGGCTTTGTTATTCTCGAATAAACAATGACATGGTGTAATATGTCATGTTGATGTTGTTCATCAGAGGTTATATTTACCAAATTTGAAGACCTGTCAAGGAACAGTTAATTGTTATTATGTTCTGATATGTAATACCATATAATTCATATAGGGTGTACTTTCTTTTTCCCATAACTGTATATATGAAAATGTATAGAGATGTATATTCTTTTCAAATATTTTTATTGATACATTTTTCAATAACAATAATAATATTAATAATGGAAAAAGGAAATTTAGCACTACAATTAACCCCTTAAGGACTGGACTGTTTTTGCAATGTTGTACATTTGCGACCAGGCCTCCTTTTACACTTTTGTGGTGTTTGTGTTTAGCTGTAATTTTCCGCTCTCTCATTTACTGTTCCCGTACAAATTATATATTGTTTTTTTCAGGACAAAAAGGGCTTTCTTTACATACCATTATTTATATAATCTCATGTAATTTAATTTAAAAAAAATTAAAAACAATGATGAGAAATTGAAAAAAATACATGTTTTTTTTTTACTTTTACTTGAAAAGTCTGTTACTCGTCTACAAAGGGCAATGAAAAAAACTGCTAAATAGATTCAAAATTTTGTCCTGAGTTTAAAAATACCAAGTGTTTACATGCTTTTTTGCTTTTTTTTTGCAAGTTATAGGGCTATAAGTACAAGTAGGATATTGCAGTTTCAAAACATACATTTTTTAAATGTATCAATAGTGACATTGTAACACTATTATCTTTCATAAATCTCTAGACACCCCACATGTATAAAGTAGACAACCCAGGGTATTCAATATGGGGTATGTCCAGTCTTTTTTAGTAGCCACTTAGTCACAAACACTGGCCAAAGTTAGCATTCATATTTATTTGTGTGTGAAAAAAGTAAAAAAAGTAAATTGAACACTAAATTTGGCCAGTGTTTGTGACTAAATACAATAAATACATACAATAGGTGGAGCACACATCTGTTGATTAAGCCTAGAGCCAGTATGACATATGGCTCTTATGTGCAGCGCAGTGGGACTCTTAATAGGATGTCCCCATCCTTCTTTGTATTCCTTCTTGGGTAGTTGGAAGCTAGCAGGAGAAAATCGCAATATATTCCAATATACTTTCCCAATAAGAAAACTTTATTTTTGATAAAAATTAATATCCGATAAGATGGAAAAAAAATTCCCAGTTAAAGTGCAAAATATAGAATAAAAAAGTCTATTATAGACTGTTGTTGTCCAAATAAATGTCCAAAGTGTAGACTGTATGTGTCCATAAATGTCCAAAGTGTAGACTGTATGTGTGCAACATACATGGACATTTATTTGGACAACAACAGTCTATTATAGACTTTTTTATTCTATATTTTGCACTTTAACTGGGAATTTTTTTTCCATCTTATCGGATATTAATTTGTATCAATAATAAAGTTTTCTTATTGGGAAAGTATATTGGAATATCGCAATTTTCTCCTGCTACCTTCCAACTACCCAAGAAGGAATACGAAGAAGGATGGGGACATCCTATTAAGAGTCCCACTGCGCTGCACGTAAGGGCCATATGTCACACTGGCTCTAGGCTTAATCAACAGATGTGTGCTCCACCTATTGTATGTATTTATTGTATTTCTATATAAGTGGTAGAAGGGGTTCCCACTTAGGTGGGTTGTGGCTGTTTTAGCTACCACACATATTTTCTCACTGTATTTCTACTATTTTAACATTTTGTGCTGTGATATGTTTAACTGCTTTGAATCACTAATATTTGTGTTCAGCGAAGTCTCCTGAATAAAACAGGAACCCCCATGTACAGGTTTTAGGGTGTCATACAAAGTTACAGGTTAAAATACAGTGTTAGCAAATTAAATTCTCTGGACTTTTGGCCAGGGTTGTCAGGCAGGTCCCTCAAATTGCTATCAATAAAATTACATAATTAAGCATGTAGAATTTAAATATATATGCAAATTTATATATTTAAAGTCTATGTGCATATTTATATAATTATTTATGTAATTTTGTATATGGACATATGTATATTTTGTATAATATTTATTTATATATACATAGATATATATACAATTTCATTCTAAATGTATTTTGATATTAATATATATATATATATATTAATATCAAAATACAGTTAGAATAGAATTAGATATATAATTTTTTTAATTTTTATTATTTTTACATTTTTTTATTTTATTTAATTTATTTATTATTTGTATTTTATAATAATATATATATATACAATATATATAGTTATATATTATATATATATATATATATATATATACGTGTGTAATTTAATTATAAGTGTATTTTTATATTAATATACATATATATTAATATAAAAAAATACACTTAGTATGACATTTTAAATATATGATATATAGACATAAATTATATAGATATAATATATGTCTATATATCATATATATACACACATATATAATTCTATTTTTTATTAACATTAACCTTTAATTTTTTTTTATATTACACTTGCAGGGAGACTGCCTGTCAGCACAGGCAGTCCCCCTGCAGGCAGAAACTAGGACACCTATTGTGGCCATGTGACCACTCTCTTGCGCGATCATATGGCCCCCAGGGTCCTAATTCTCCATGGGGAGACTGCCTAGGCTGCAGGCAGTCTCCCCAAACTGGGAGCACCGCCGATCGCCACCAGGGGAACGACGGCGACAGGGTGAGTAACGATTACCGTTGTGACGGTTCAGGACTGTCAGCGGTCGGCAACGCTAAAATGCCGATGACGGTCCTGAACTGTCCTCGTTGTTAAGGGGTTAAACAGGGGAATATAAATGTATGTTTACATCCATTGTTATGTCATATAATATTGCACGTCAAAATGAACGTCAATAATAATAAAAATATTTAAGACATTTAGATGCATTTTGTTTCTATTCTCTATTAGAATAAATATCTGTAATTCTAAAATATTTTTTATTATAAGAGATGTATATTCTAATAGAGAATAGAAACAAAATGCATCTAAATGTCTGAATTTTGAAGCTAAAAATTAGATTCTGCTCCTTGTCTAGAACGTCATCCAGGGAATGATTGACTAGATAGAGCTAAATCTAATTTGTGACACTATCTGTTGTAAAGAAAGGTAATCAAGCTGTGACTTGCATCCTCTTAACCAATTATGGACATATAGGAATGCAGTTAATTTATCATTAACCCCAGCAATAGACCACATAAACAAAAGGCTGCAGACTTTTACCACGGCAGGAGACACCTCACAGCATGCATAGGAAATCTTCAACACTCCAGATGTTGTGGACTAGATCTCCCCTGATGCTTTGCCAGCAGTATGGCTGTAAGAGCATTATGGGAGATGTAGTCCACAACATCTGGAGTGCCAATGACTGCTGATGGTCACACACAGGCAGACAGTCTCACACACACACAGGCAGACATCCCCGACTTAAAGCATTGAACCCTAAAAATATATATATAAAAATAATATATAGATAAAAAATATCTTATCAAAACCAACTCCTATACCTGTGACACACAATGTTCATTTCAGAGTTTATCATGTGCACCTGCCGTTGCTGGCAAGTTTA